ATATTTTGGCCTTGGCTATATGCACTGACTGGCAGTTGGCGCTTCAGTCCCAACCATAATTTGAAATAAAGAGGAAAAAACTATCTGGAAAGTGCCTTAGCCATCCTTTTAAAATGTTAACAGTCGAAGGTCCCACTCCCGCTCAAGACTCCTAAAAATCAAATAATGTCCTCCCGCATCCGTACTGTTGGAGGCCAAATCAGATCCAGATTTCTCCGGTTCAAAAGTCAGCTCTTTCCACCCCTTCCTCTCTATATTCTTTTCCTCACTGCGTTTCTCTGTCATGCTTTATTTATTGCAGGTCTACAGAACCTTTACTGGCACATATGTAGCTTTTTGAATAATCAATAAATAATTATTTTATTATTTAAAAGAATGGTACGGGGGAAAGAAATGAGTTTCATTCTATAAATCCATCAAGTGTGATGAACGGCTGCACTTGTAAAGTTGGACAGGTCTGTGCTTCCACAGTTCACTTCCACATGAAAGGTCGTAAACATGACAGCCGTGTCTCTTTGGGACCGTCAGTTGGAGTGCACGAGGCATTGGGGAAAGGGGATTGTAAATTCAGAGCGATTAATTAACCTTTACATTTGCAATTCAGCCCTGCATCCTTTCTTGTATAGTACCCCCCCCCCCCACACACACACACACACACACACGCACACACACACACAATCCGCTGAGAGGTGAGAGACCTGGCCGCAGTCGGTCCAGGAAGTCTCGACGGCTCATTCCAAATGAGTTATTAACAGAATTTTTTGAATAGATGGAAAAATTGTAGCCTGGCCATTTAGTGTCATAAAGGCTGGGTTGGCGAGGCAGCAGGGGCCTCCCAGGGACAGGAGGCAATACCATTACAATCAAATCTGAGATGGAAGAGGGATTGAGCTGTCCATTCTGAATTTTTATATTGTCGGTGGGCTGGGGGAGGAAATAATGCCATCCTGGAGTGTATTAACCTCTGGCTGGTGAGAGAGGACGGGGGGGGGGGTGAGAACGGAGGCAGGCCAAGGGAGCGATTTGAGATTGGACAGTGGGGAAGAGAGGACGGCTAGGACGAGGGAGGAGGGAAACAAAAGGGGGCCAAACAGGGTTTCATGCTGGGAAAACCAAAGTGAGCGTGGCAGGGATATGAGGTGACCAAGAGCTGGAGCTGGGATGGAGTGTGTTAGGGAAGAAATAGTGCAACAAGGAGGAAGGAATGGGAAGGAAGGGGAAAGAAGCCTGACTGGGCTGTGAGAATGGAAGGAAAAGGCAGAGGGCCGACAGAAACAAGACGTAGAACTAGAAAATCATTAAAGGAGTTGTAAAGCTGTAGGAAGAATGTTCAGATCCAACCCACTAGAGACGCATCATCTTCTACAAGCGAAGACAATTAACTCTTTCGATTTCATTTGTGAGACTTGAGCAGCTTGACACAAATTTTAGATTTCCTAGAAATACCCTTTTAAGTGCCAGTTTGCAGGTGTGCTAAAACATCTAAATCATGCCTCTGTTACGGCATTTCCACATCTGGATCAGTACAGTCGGGGCTGTGTGGCGTTGGTTTGGGCTCGAACAGGAGTTAGCAGTTGGGGGGGGGGGGGGGGGGGGTATAGCTGATGGAAACATTGCTGATATAAATACAGGAACTGCCATGTTGTAGTTTTGGAGCCTGAGTCTCTGAGCCCTCATTCAGGATGTGATTTATATTTATATTTGATATCTAAGTATGAAGTAATTACTAATTAATGAATTACCGTAAATTCCGGAGTATAAGTCGCACCAGCCATAAAATGTATAATGAAAAAGAAAAAATATATATAAGTCGCATTTTGGGGGGAATTTTTATTATTTTTCTTACAAAATCTGAGACCAAGACAAGTACCGGCAACAACAACAGAATAAACAATCAGGGCGCAGCAGCACGCCACGGTCTCCAGAGGATGGCGGTGTTTCAAACCCTCCCAGCGGGCAGGGAGAACGCCCGCAGCATCCCGCCACAGGCTGCAGCAGGTGATGGTGGTGTTTGAAACCCTCCCAGCGGGGCAGAAGAGCTGAAACCTGGTCCGGAGCCGGCCCGCAGCAGAGCGGTATACATAATTTGGTATACAAGTCACTTTGGTATATAAGTCGCAGGACCAGCCAGACTATGAAGCCAGACTTACATTTAATACCGTATTTTCCAGACTGTAACAGAACCGTTTAAGCTCCAATGGCAAATCTGGAAAACAAATGAGCTTAAAACATTTTGTCCATGCATCTTAACAACATTTTAACATAGCATAGCTGTAAATATGTGGTTCTCACGCATTTGTCTAAAACCATTTTAACTTTACAACAAACTACCAGAGACCCAAAAACAAAATCACCATTTGAAGACATGGACAACAAAAGACGTTAGGACATAGAAAACGGCGACCGGTGTTTAGCGCCATGTCGTTTCCTCCGGCATCGCGGGTTCTGGTTCCGCCAGAAGCGCCTCAGGGAAGATACCCAAGTGGAGAGGTGAGTGTTTGGTGACTGTGTTTGCCTTGAAAACCTAGCTTGTTTGCAGATTCACCTAACAGCTTAATCAACAACAACGTCAGTACCTGGGAAAAAAATGGTAAATGCAAATCAGGTTTTTATTTTATTCATTTACATCAGGGAGGAAGAACTTAAAGCTTGTACTGGAACCTGCCACTAGATGGCAGTCCTTTTCAATTTGGTTTCAACTTCCAGGTTCCATTTTTCTAGTATCAAAGGGCTTTTGTCACACCCATCGTCATATAAATATTGGACAATGGGTTTCCATAGACTCCAATAACACGTTTTTGAGGAGAAATGGGAGGTGGCCACCACCGCCATTTTGACTGTGTCACAGGTTCCGTCAAGCCCAGACAATTCCACAAAAGGGAAGAGAGGTGGAGCTGAGGGTGGGGCTGTAAGGCTGGGATCAACTGACGACACCCGGTCGAACTAGCTACAAGCTAACCCAAAGCCAATGCGTAGGTGGGAGCTAAGCTAACGGAGGTAGCGACCTAGCTACAACTGGAGTTAACTGTGCACAACACCAGAGCTTCTGAGTCAGAGATACGCCGGGCTGACCGCTGGGTAAAACCGGGTGGAACACAGAGGTCTCCGAGGCCTCCACAAGCCGGCAGCCGCACAGCAGACAAGCGCCGCTGTGATCTGAGATGCGCAGAGCTGCCGCTGGGGAGAACCGGGTGGAAAGGTTTCCATCCAGAGCTTCACAAGCCCGCAGCCCGCGCAGCAGAGATGCGCCGAGCTGCGGGGAGGGGAGAAACGGATGGAAAACATCGGTCTCCCGAGAGCTCCACAAGCCGATAGTCGGAACCCAGCTCCACCAACATGTTATATGTCAACCCATTTTCTGAAGTGCAGCATTATGTTAAATGCACTGGGTTTTACATTTCATGGTTAAACAGTACATGTTAAAATCTAAGCTCAGCTCAGCAGTGACCTAAAATACATAAATATAATTTTACTTACAGAAAAAAATGAAGTGGAGACTCCTTGGACGCTCTATTAGTGCAATTAATGCCACAGCAAGTCATTTTGTCCAACAATTGCACAAATAATATCCAAACAAGAATACACGAACACAGAGACTCAAAATCCCGGAACAGTTTCCAAGCCAGACCGAGGCTCTACCGAGGCCTTTCCACGGAGCTAGCTCTGTGGTCACGTGGGTCTGATGCTCATTAATGATACAGAATTTTAGGCTTTTAATAGACTTAAACAGAAGAGTGAGAAAAAAAACTCACCCCCCTCAGAGTTGTCATGAGTGTAAACTAGATCATTTAAACCAAAAACATGTTTTGGTACCAGGCAGTAAACATGTTTATTTCTGCTGTGAAATTGGTATTTTTAACATGGGAGTCAATGAGGATTTGCTCGCTTCTGACACCAGCCCCTAGTGGATGAGGGTGGAACTGCAATTTTTGGTACTTCTGGGATTGCTTCAATTTTTCACCCGCATTGTGGGGGCTTGGTCACACCATACGTTTTGACTTGAAAGAGTAACCGAACCTTTCAGCCGTGCAAGCGTCGCAAAAAATGTCACGCAGAATTGTGCGCAGCAATTAGCTGCCGTGACAGTTGATGGATGCATTTCCACGCAAAGCGTCGCACTTTGGACGCTTCCCAGAAGCGTAGTGACATGCCGATTCTCTAAATTTCCACTTCAAGTCTATTTTTACATGCTACACTTCCAGAACACGTCAAGCTATGCATTTAAGCTTCCAGGAGAAAGGCAGGATTACGCAAGATGGTGCTTTGAGGACTGCATTCTTCTGGTTGTTCTGTAAAAATGCTGACAAACAGAACTTCCTGTAAATGGAATGGGGCCATTATTAGTAGACCTGTGGCCTTCTTATTCTTACAAGTCAAAATGTGTGCTGTGAAACTGTGAAAACAAGTTTAAACTTCAAAGTGTGCATTTTACTTGTTTGATTTCTCGCAATCAACTTTTGCCCATTCAAGCAAAATTTAGTCCAGGGCATGGTTCAACGAGACTGTCTAAAATAGAATAGCACAGTTTCTTTCTAGAAAAACTGGCTCCTTCAAACAGAGGGATGAATGGAGGGTCTAAATTAGCCTTGTGAATTTGGATTTTTTATTATTATTATTATTATTATTTGTAACTTTTTTATTTACAAATAACATGGCATACATTCCTTTGTTTAACATTTCCAAGGATCAGGTGCGAAGAACAACAAAAGAGACTTTGCATAGAAAGCAAAGAACATTTGTGAAAGAAACACCTTGTGAATTTGGAAACCCAAAGAAGCAGGACAGAGGATAGGTCTTCAATTCTGTAATCTTTCATCAGCAAAATCATTATGCTACCAGATTAATGGACCTCTTGAAACTAAACGTGTCTACTAAAAGTGTTGCATACTGTTTAAAGAATGATGGGGCAGCAGGAAACTGTCATGAAACCGGATTTACCGGATGCACTCGTGTTTGTTTTAATGTGTAGACTCTAAACGGACACAGCAGCAATAACTCACCCACTCATGGAGTCGTCCACGCAGGTAGGTCCCGACTTTTACAGGCTGCCAGTTTAACTTGTTTTCTAAAAAAAATTAAACTATTATTTTTATTTTCGGCGTGTGTGTTAAACAGACTCATTCTAGTAAATGTTTATATGATTAAACCTGGTTTTAGGCGTTTCGCTGGTTGATTGGGCCACGATTCACCTGCTGCGGCAGCGCGTCTCTGTCTGGACCAATCGCGTCAGAGTTCAGGGGTCACGTGGCAGCGAAGCGGAAGTTGTTGGCTTCTGTGCCGCTAGAGCTTGTTAGCCTTTAGCAGGCTAACAGGCTTGTCGTCGGGTTTTGGCTGTTTGTCACTGAATTTTAAAGCTATGAAAGAGTTTTGACTCAATGAGAGATGAAGACAAGGCGAAAAGGAGAATGATGTTAGTGGGCTTTGCCTCTAAAACTGGGATAAACACGCTTAAAGACATCCGGACGTGTTAAAGGTAACAAGCTTGCTGTTAGCTAACTTGATTGGCCAAGGGGGAAAATCTGTCGTTTAAGGCAGTTAATGAGATGAATGATACAACTTTAGATGTTTGTTTTATACATCTGAGATAGCTGACATTCTCCACTTTGGTCATTATTATGCTTTGTCACAAAGCTAACGTTACCTCCAGTCAAACTTCATTAAACACAAGTATTTACTACTTGTTTCCCACGATTATCTCTGTTTTTAGGGGAACTTGGAAATGTCTGTTTCGCTATCTTTAGTTCAGCTCATATATCCCTGATATATTTTGTGATACGTTGTTTATCAGAAGTAACTTGTTGATTAGTTATATAACCAAGCACCAGCTAGTTAAAAAGCAGCAAAGACAAAAGTAAATCTAGTAATGTCCAGCTTTTTAAATGATGCTTACAGACAGAGACCCGCAGTAGCAACAGCAATATGCAGAACTTATGATTGGTTGCTTGCTGTTTAGGGAAGCATCATGTTAGAAAAAGAAGCTTTCTGTTTCTGTGAGCAGTGGTTCCCAAAGGTGGGGTCAGGTCCACATTTTTGGTCACCAAAAGATTCACAGGGGGTCTTGATGATTTCTAGAAATCCAACTAAAATTGGAAGAAAATAGCCAAACTTCTATTTCATGCATAATGATAATACAAAATCAAACTAAATGGTAAATGGATACAAGTCAACATGAGCCAAAGCTATTTTCTTTATGCTCTAGTATGCCCTTGTGTTTACATTCACTATGAGTGTGTTTACATGCAGCCAGTAACCCTTTTAAAACCCGAATATTCACAATAACCTGGTTCCGTAGGTCCATGTAAACACTGCCAAAAACCTGGATATGCTCATAACCAGGTTTTTAAAAACCCGGTTACTACACCTGGGGTAACCCTTTTCTAACCCGAATGTTTGGTCTTGTAAACGCATACCGGGATATCCCCATCAAAGCGTGTGTTCTGTGCATGCTCTGTTCGCAAGGAATCTTGGTCTTTTGAGTAGCGAGACGTCTTGTATGCGCCAGAACACCGGAAGTAAACAACAAGTTGGGAGCAACATGGCGAGTCGCGGCACAGCACCACACTTTTGGAGTGACGAGGAAACTAAAGCGCAAACAAACGCGGTCGCTATCTCTTCCGAAATGGGAAACATGTTGTTTTCACGAATACTGGAACGAGAAGAACCGGAAATGACGCATATTGCGTCAGGACGTAGTCCATACGTCCTGACACTACCCCAACGTCCGCATTTACATCGGGTTATGCAAGTTAGGGGTAACTCTTTCTATTTATGCTTGTAAACGGGTTATTCTGATCAACTCAGAAACCCGAATACCGACCTTAACCCGATCATAACCCGGATATTGGCTGCATGTAAACGTAGTCATTGTGTTGGGTCTGAAGCTGAAGAGATTGGGAACCTCTGGTTTAAACTTTTCTTTTAAACACTATATTGAAATATAAGACGTTACTTTAAAAAAGGAAATTTTTTTGTAAGCTGCACGATAAATACTAGTGTAGCACTGCAGCTGGTAATTAACTTTGTAGGTCTGATAATTAAACTATACATTTCAGATGTTTTACATCACGTGACACAAATGGTATTGAACATTTTCATTTTTTTATTTGTAGTCTGTCAGGGTACCGAATGTGAATACGGGTTTTTCTCTTGCTGATCTGTGGAGGTCATGGTCAGCTGATGTCTGATATGTGCAGCTACATTTTAAGCCAGTGTTCCTGGTCCATATCTAGAAGTTTTCCTCCTTATCTGCATTCAAAAATGTCACTAATAACAACTGATGTGCGTTATTTCTGAGCCTGAATCAGTTTTTGAACACTGAATTCAACCAACTGTTGAATCTTGTTTGTTTTTTTTTTTTTGCTCACTATTAAAAACAAACATTTAACCTAAGCTAATCGATAAAATATTAAATATAAAACGGGTAAAAAATGTAAGTTGACAATATTGTGTTGTACTTATTAATCAGATGTTTTTAAGGAATGTAAATTTACCTTTGTAAAAGATCTGGCAGCGGGCTGCCCCGAATGTGCCTGACCTAAAATCACCTCTACTAAAGAAGTATGTCGGCCATTGCCTATAAATAAAACATGGTCTGTTCCCATTTTACAGCCGTGCTTGTGTCACATACCTTTTTGTAAACAATAAAATACCCTGGTCCTGTCTGCATGTGCAACACATTTAGTCCTTCCTTTGCTTTTGTTTGCTAACAGCAGTAGCTCAGGAGGGAAAGCGGGTTGTCCAGTAATCGGAAGGTTGCAGGTTCAATCCTGGCTCTGACCAGAGAATGCTGCTGTTATGTCCTTGGGCAAGACACTTAACCCGCCTTGCCTGCTGGTGGTGGTCGGAGCTCGGCAGCCTCGCCTCTGTCAGTGCGCCCCAGGGCAGCTGTGGCTACAATGTAGCTCATCCCCACTAGTGTGTAAGAGTGTGTGTGAATGGGTGAATGACTGATTATGTTGTGAAGCGCCTTGGGGGGTTGTAGAACCGTAAGAAAGCGCTATACAAATACAGGTCATCTACCATTTCAAAGTAAATCAAAGATGTGTAGGATTCTGAGTTGTTCTTGCCTCCACGTGAAAAATAGCAACCTGACATGTTTTAGGGATCAAACCCGTTGGATAGCTGCATTTTCAGCAGCTGTTGAACACATCTATGACTTCTTTCTTTCGCCTATCAGGCTGGTGTTTGACCGGTTTTGTGTGTTCCCACAGCTTCCAGCAAACACCGACACAATGAGCGCCAAATATGGCCTGGTGGGCTATAACAATTCACGGAAGCACATTTCCATCTCCATCCCCTCCACCACGGAGGTGATGTCACCTCACATCAAGTCTGTGGAGGAGTTGAGGGTTCTTGGAATCAACCTTAGCAACTTAAGTGCCCCTACACAGTTCTTCATATGTGTAGCTGGAGTCTTCATCTTTTATCTTATCTACGGATACTTGCAGGTGAAGTAAATCCATCAGCTTTCATTCAGTGTGGAAAAAACACGGCAATAGGTTGTCAACCCTTTTTGTTTCGGTTTTGCTTTCTGATAGGAGTTGATATTTTCCGTGGAAGGATTCAGGCCTTTTGGATGGTACCTCACGCTGGTCCAATTTGGTTTTTACTCCGTCTTTGGACTGGTGGAGCTTCAGCTCACCCAAGACAAACGCAGAAGGTACGTATGAAACTGATGATCTGCACGCCTTTATGCTTTTTATTATTATTCATTTATGTCCGGTTTCTCTTCTCCAGGATACCAGGGAAGACTTACATGATGATAGCATTTTTAACTGTGGGCACTATGGGCCTCTCTAATACCTCTTTGGGCTACTTGAACTACCCGACCCAGGTCATCTTCAAGTGCTGTAAACTCATTCCAGTCATGATTGGAGGAGTCTTTATCCAAGGTTAGACGTGAACACTGACAGAGTGAACAAAATACTGTGATGGGTTGTGTTTTTGATGACTTTTTTTCCACTGCGGGTTGTAAGAGTTGGTAAATGTAGTACTTTTAGAGCTTAATATACTACCTCTACTTATGACCAATAAGCAGGTTGATATTCTATATAAATATAGATTATCAACCTGCTTGGTCTTTGGATGTTTCATCAGAAGATTCTAGGATTCTTTGTTTATTCAGGGATTGTAAACACTTTGTTTTGATTCAGGAAAGAGTCGGGTTTGTAAAAAGTAAGAATTTATTTCCCAAACAATTAAAACATGACAAGTTAACTAATATTTACTGTGATGGATGAATCTAGATGGGGGAGATGTGATGTGTGGTGCCTATGTGTGTATATGATGTTATCAGAACTTTTGTATCTAGGAGAGCCGAGTTCTGGGTGTAAAAGGGAAAGAATTTGGTTTACGTAAAGCTATGAAGTTGATTATTATCAAAAAGGCATTAGACGCTATCTGTGTGTCTACTTCACCCTCTTGGAGACCCCCGTTTGGATCCGAGATGTCAAGGAGCCGATGACCTCAATGCATGTGATTTGTAGAAAACCCCTCGATGCGACCAAGTCAGTCCCGAGTTGCCTCCGGGTCACACGATAGATGAAGTTGGTTACGTCTTAGAGCAGCTGTTTCTGAGCAGCTGAAGAGCAAGTTGCTTTGTTCTGAAGGAACAGGTTTGTCTGTGTCAGCTTTGCAGCTACCTCCTTGACGGCGTGTCAAAGATTACTCTGGGTTAAAGAGACTTCACTACGGATGGCTGCCGTTTCCGTAGCTTCCTCTAGAACCGACTCACGGTGACGAGCTCTGTTTTTACAGATCGTCATATTTTGATTTTCTAACAAATCAGAAACGGACTTTTAAAGGAGGTTTTTACCAACAAACCTCAGAAAACACACCTTCTTTCAGATAGGAGCTCTGATTGGCTAAGAAAATGTCTATGTGTCATGACGAGTAACTTATCTCTAATGAAACTTGTGTGAGTGTAGATGATGATGGCCTTGTCATATCAAACATTACTGATCCATATATAAATAAATGTAATAATAACATAACATTCATTTCAAACTTCAGTAATTCAAACACAGATTAATCAAAACATTATTATTCATATAATAGTTGTTCATCCAATCATATTATTATTATTTAATGATGAATTAACTTATAAGTTTTAAATGTTCACATTATATTTAAGAGTTCATTCTTTGATCAAGCAAACAATACGAGCTGAGAGTGTTCGCTTTATTCAGAGGGTTCAAAAATAAACCTTTGATTTAGTTTTTTATTATAAAAACTCGCATCAGTCTAAAAAACTCCAGTCATACAATTTGTACGGAAGTGTTGCGTAACGTTCACTAAGTGCAGTACGCAGAAATTAGCTGCCATAATAGTGGATCAGTGCGTTTCCTCCGTTGCATTTTGGACGCATCTCCGAAGCTCAGCGGGTAAGATCGGGTAAGACAGGAAGTCCAACACGGGAGCATCCAGAAACTTTCAAAACAAAACGATTAGTGCAGATTTTTACTTTAAATAACTAGTAAAAAAAAAGGTTAATTACCTGTGAAACCTTTATAGCAGAGTTAAACGTAACGGGAAAGAAACTACGGATCGTTCTGGATACATGCGGCCATCGTTCACCTTGCTTGTTATCGTGCGAATCGCTTAAATCACGTGTGATCTTGTAGTTCTCTCGTGAGTTTAACTGGCGGGCTCGTCTGCGTGGGATGCTTTTGCTGCCGATTCAGGCCTGACATGTTACCGGTGGGAAGGAGCTAGCAGGTAAAACGTTACGCGCCGCTCACACATCCTCTGGAAAGGCTGGATTACGCCAAATGTGTTTTGTTGTGAATATTTGTTTCTTTTGTCTGACTGATGAGTCAATTGTATTAACTTTATAACATTTTAATTACAAAAGACGATGATGTTCCCCAATTAAAACTTTAAACCAGCCCAGACCATCAGAGTAAAGATGGTGGACACTTCTCTACTGTCATCGTAGGAGTCTTTTGAGCCTTTTAACTTCCAGCACATCCTTCTTATCCTTGTCTGTTTATTCCGGTCATCAGAGTTCAGTCGGTACTACTCACTCTGGCCTTCTCAGGGTTCTGTTTTAAACGTCAGATGAGTTTAGCTCTCCCCCTCCAGTTCCTTCATCTCTCCCTTTCAGGGAGCAGATGTGAGGACCGCAGTCCCCAAAGGGAAAGGGTGAAAAACATTTGTTCACTTGGAATGCAGAAAGGAAAGGAAAGTGGGAGAACGGGCCGGTCGGATGATGGGAGGGGATTCAGGGTTGTATCTGATGTGAGGCCCTTCAAAGGCAAGCGGGGGAATCAAAGCCGACCACAGCCAACCTGATGCTGCGTCCTCTTGTCAACCTTAAGGCGTCCAGCCGTCAGTCTGGTTTCATCCACTTGTTTTTCTCCCGTGCTTCTCCTCTTTTATCGCAGGTTGTTTTCTACATTGTTTTATGCAAAACTCCAAAAACTTTGAATTGTGAAAGATGTTCTTGGCTCTAACTTTTATAAGTGACGTGTTTACCTGTTTGACTTTGTTGTGCTGTGTTTGTAATGATCACAAATGGATTAGATTCGACTTCTGACGCGGTTACACTTTACACCATGTTAATGAAAAAGTCTCTGTTTAGGTAAGCGATATAATCTGACTGATGTGTCGGCCGCCCTCTGCATGAGTCTCGGACTCATCTGGTTTACCCTGGCTGACAGCAAAGTGGCTCCAAACTTCAATGTAACAGGTAAATATTGGTGTTTATTTTATTTAAATGAGTCATTCTGATGCTACAGTCACTCCAGAGTTCTCGTGTTGGTCCCGCATCTCAGAACTTGACATTTAGTTTGACCTGCTTGATGGTTTACTGATAAAATCAAACTTATTGAACTATTGGATAAAAAGACTGCAAGTGAGGGAGTGTGTTCTGGCATCATTAAAAACATAAAATAAAAAACGGAAAAGTTGAATAAATATATTCAAATTGATGGTGTCTGCTAGATAGACATGGATACATAGACGTGCCATTTGGTGCTGGAGAGTGTAACAGCATCTCCGCCATATTGGATGGGTTCCCCACTCTCCAAACCCGACTAGAGTCGATGCAAAATGGGCAACTTTGCCCATTTTTTGTGCAGCCTACGGATGCAACAACCGGCGTGCTATTGAAAACCAATCACGTGGGATTGCTATTGACTTTTCTAGCCTACCTGTTGGGATTTCTGCTCATTTTAATTTATTTTATGTGATTATGTTTATATTTTTATTATCATGCCATGTCTGGTTTTGTTTAAAAAAACATAGTGAAATGTATTTTTTTGTTGGGTAAGCACTTTTCTCGGTAGAAATAAATGCACTGATGAAGACCCATCCAAGATGGCGACCCACTGCTACGCCAGCTTGTATAGGCAGCGCCAGTCCATGTCACGTCTACGTATATGATGTCTGTGGTCCGCTAGTACATGTAAAGCTCTTCTTCTGGTGCCATTCCTTTAATTTAGCAGCATTTTGTCATTTCTGACACCCTAGTGGATGATAGAAGAACTGCGGCAGCACTGGGTTCTTAAATTCATGACTGCCTGGAAGTGGTTAAAAAAAAATTCTAGTCTCCTAGTCTGACTATGATCCAGCAGCTGGCATCGAATCACAGGACCTGATTTTTTAACGTTTGTTTCATTTTAATATCGACAGAATCCTATTTTTATTGTTGTATTTAATAAACGTGTGTGTGCGTGTGTGTGTCCTGCAGGTGTTGTGCTCATCTCCCTGGCGCTGTGTGCAGATGCTGTCATTGGGAATGTTCAGGAGAAAGCCATGAAACTTCACAGCGGCTCCAACTCTGAAATGGTGAAACGGAACCATTAGACATTAATATTTAGTCTGTAGGAGGAGGAGGAGGATGATGATGATGATATTAATTGAAGGTGTCGTGTGATTTGGTGCTGACAGGTGCTGTACTCGTACTCGATTGGTTTTGTCTACATACTGGCAGGCCTGCTCTGTGTGGGCGGGCTGGGCCCGGCTGTAGCGTTCTGCTCAGAGGTGAATCTATCCCTGACATTTGATGTGGTTTTGTGTATTTTAATTAGGATGAGGACATAAATGAATACAAACGGTTTAATAATAATGTGTGTCCTCTGAATGTTTCTGGCTTTTAGCCTCAGACGTGTCTGGTCTGTAAATCCTTCTCCTCATCCTCTCTCCTGCAGCATCCTGTTAAAACCTACGGTTATGCCTTCTTCTTCTCTCTCACGGGTTATTTTGGGATCTCCTTTGTGCTCGCCTTAATCAAGCTCTTTGGTGCCTTGGTTGCAGTGACAGGTAAATGACACAAGAACAGATTTCTTGTCTTCACGGATATTTTTACATCCTCTTTAATGACAATATTTCTGTTTTAAACCCCAAACATCGTCATATTTTATGTGTTTTAAACTGTTTCATGTGAATAAAGGCTGGAAAGTTCACTCTCAGCATAAGAAATAGTTTTTTTTAAGTATGAAACTAACTTTTTGGATGGTCATGTGTTGGCTCTTTTGCAGTGACCACAGGGAGAAAGGCCATGACTATCGTACTTTCCTTCATGTTCTTCACAAAACCTTTCACCTTTCAGTGAGTATCATCACCTTTTGACTTGAAGCACTTCTTCGTTCTAAGTAAACCCACAACGTGCCCGCTGACCTTTCCTTTGTCCAAAACAACTTGATTTGGCCTCCCAGGCTTCCATCCCCTCAGTCCACGCTCAGACCTCTGCTGCTCCTCCTCGTCCTTCTCTCTTTCCTCTCCTACTGACTTGGCCTCTTAACTTAGTGGTGCTGTCAGAAGGGACTAATTTTCTTCATACCTCTGATTCGGTTTCTCCTTTTTAGAGATGTCGACGTGCGTGTGTGTGTTTATTCTGATAAAATAAACTTAGAGGTTGCTTTTAGGCCAAATTCATCCTTCCTGCAGCTGGTTTGTGTCCTGCACTCACAGTTTGTGTGTATTTTTAAGCAAAGGGACCCGTTACCAAAACTAAATAGCAACTGTTAAAACTATATGACATAAAAAGATGATTAAAGTGTTTATTCTTATGTTTCTTTTCTTCCAGGTACATCTGGGGTGGCCTTCTTGTTCTCTTTGGCATCTTTTTGAATGTTTACAGTAAAAATAAAGAGAAAATGAAACTCCCTTCAATCAAAGACATCAGGAGTTGGCTGCTGGCAAGAAAGAAAGTCAGATTCCTTTCACAGAACGTTTAGAGACACCCCACATCACCTTAACGGAGTGCGATGACCCGTTCCAGGTGTGGTGCCGGTTGTATCGAAGCATTTGCCTGAGCTACCGGGCTACATCACCGCCGACTCTGAGCCGAGGATGGGCATTCAGGGTTTGACCTCCACTCAGCCTTACAAACAGCTGACCTGATTAAACTGTGGATCAGGGACTAACTGGGTTTGGACCAGTACACCACTGGTTAATGAAAACACTATCAGCATCAAACTGAAGGAAAACAATGGGACTGGATTCCCAGTGGGGTCTTGTAAAGCAGAAACATTCCCGACATGGAGTAAAACATGAGGAAGACTCTGAAAGGGAACTCGTGTGCTTAGCTAACCAAATTGCGGAGTTTTGCACTGGAACCAGCTCCAACACTTGAACCCTTGAGTGATTGGAAGAAAAATGAAACGTAGGAAGGAAGGAGAACGTAGGGACGTGTTAATGTCATGACTAAAATGATTGTCGCCCACCCTATTAGAGAAAATAACATTTTGATAAAAAGCCTATTTGCCCCCGCATGTGCCAGAAAGATGGACAAAAATAGTGTTTTACATAATAAGTGTCTTTATAAAAGTATATTTCAGAGTTTATGGCTAATTTAAAAGTAAATATCCAGTGTGCTCGTGTGATTAAGAACTTCATTTGTTCCTCTCATACATTGTCAACTGCCATCATTCATTAATGTGTTTCTGGGTGAAAGGGGACAGGGCTTTTTATAATAAACCTATGTATTTAGTAATTACTGTCGTGTGTGTTTGTGTGAGGGGGGCTTTGTCAGCCAAACCTTCCTCCCTCCCCATGCGCCGCTTCACAGAACAGCTGAAATGTTGCCAAAATCCATGTGTGTGTGTGTGTGTGTGTGTGTGTTTACTCATCTAGTGGCCTTGGGCGTGTTTGATTAGGAGACCCGGGGAAAAGTAGCACTGTTAGAAACCAAACGGCAATCTCTACTGTATGGAAGCTGTCGTAGTAATTCGGAGCAATATCTTACCAGGTGCGTCAGTCTCACGATGACGCTTACCAAACACACACCCCCATCACATTTCGGTGCATTTATCTGGTGTTTTTATGGCAGATGTGATTTGCTAACCTAGAAATCCAGACGAACCGTAGAAGCAGTAAAAGATTTAGCTCTGCAGGTCGGCCTAGCCACCAATGTAGTCAGCAGGTCTACCATTGGCTTGGCTAAGCTTAGGCTAGGCCAATCACAGCGCTATGTTTATAGATGGACATTGGGGGGGGGTTAATTGGCACCATTAAGGTTGGTTTATGCTTGACGCGTCCGTACGGCTCCGCGCGGAAAAGTTGCGTCATTTTAACAACCACGCCCCTCCACCACGCCTCCGCACGGATCAGAATTTCCGTAACGCGCACCTCGGAAAATTTCTAACCACGCGGACGGACGGACGTGGAAAAACATGGCGGACCGGCAAGAACTAGTATGGCAGAGGTTCGTAAATACAGACATTTGTATGATTCAGCTCTCAGAGATCACCGTGATCAACATGTTGTTAATAATTCTTGGAGAGAAATAGCTCGCACTGTCGGAAAAGACAAGGACGCTGTTAAAAATGCTGGAATGCCATGTTGTAAACAGTAATTTCTACTTCTACTATGGTGTAGTGTTGGGTGCATGCCGTAGAGCTCCATGCTGCCCCCTACAGTTTGGGAGAATATTGGCTCACCGCAGAGACGAGCCGCACGATCCGTAAACGCTGCAAGTTGTGGAGCGCGTTCCATCCGCGAGCCGCATCACCGCACGGAAAGTGAATGCGTCAAGCATAAACCAAGCTTTACAGCAGAGAACAACCTTTTGACACCGTCACCTCTTTTATAAAACAATGCTGCCAATTTTCTGCAAAGCTGAGCCGACATCAGGGAGCCTTAGGTTGTTTATCGGTGGTCAGACCGTGGCGGTAATGAATCACAATCGTCCATTTTACAAAAGATTACGTAATGGCGGTCTAAGGTATGTAGGTAGTCTTTGTTCTTCCCCTTATCTTGAACATAACTTGCTTTTTACTGAGATTGAAGCCACGCTCCTTAACGGTGTGGTTGACTGAAAAACATGGTGGACAGGTTTATTGGTCGTGTGTAAATATTACAGAAGTCAGTCAACAGTTACGTTAGACCATCTCATGCTACACCACGTCTGCTGCTTTCGTCAGGTTGTAGGATTATTTTGCGGGAACGTTTGCTTCAGAAGCTCTGTGTAGAGTATCTTCTCTACATGTGGCGGCACAATAGTAAAATTACATCTTACAAATAAAAAAACTGTCAGATTTTAATACTGCATTAAATTAGCAGTGGTATACTTGGGTTTTATCCCCCATTCTAATAAACGAGCACTGTCAACATGTCATTTCATCACATTTTAGCACAACAATGCTGTTTCCTCCTTACCTGAGGTGTGGTGGTAAGGCCGGACATGTGTAAGCATTTGCACATTGACAGACCAAGAACTGATGGTGAAATTGAAATTCGAATGGGAGCAAGCCAAACCGTACTTCTGACGCTGGTCATTATTTTCTGATACTTTCATTAAAGGTGTGGTTGACTGAAACGTGTTTGTTTTACTGATTATTTCTGATAATCGATCACTGCATCACACATCATGGACTCACCCACCTAGACTCACGACGGGGAAGGCTGTTGTTGTTTTAGCATCCAGGAAACTGCAGATTAACCCTTTAAGCGCCAAAGTCACAGAATTGCGACAAGCAGCAATGATGGATTTAATAAGCCACAGCAGCAGAAATGAGCCCTCATGCAGTTGATACGTTACACTGCGGGGTGGCAGACACCTGTAACTTCAATCCAAGCAGCATTTGTGGGTGTGTTACTATTGAAACTTTTGGAGTATTTAGAGCTTGAAGCCCGCCCACCAGTCGCAGAGTCGCGGGGGTTGTCAGATCGAGTGAAAGTGAGCGAGTGGTAGAGGAAAAAAAACAATGCCGAGAGGAATGTTCAGTGCTGACGAAGATCTTCGTGTAGTACTGGCAGATTCGGATTGGGAAGAAGAATATTTCCTTTCCGAGGATGATCTGCAGTCTTCTAGCGAGACGGAAAGTGTGGCTTCAGCGCGCAGCAACAGGGAGTCTGTCAGCGACGACGCGGTTACACAAGCAGCCCATCCAGCCCTTACCTTGTCCGATGTTCCACCTCACCGTGTCCGGGGTCGGGGAAAGGGACATGGCGGGGGGGCTCGAGCAGCTCGTAACGGGTCTGATCCTTCGCTCGGTGAAAACTCCGCTGGTGATCGATTCAGCCCCGGGGGTGTAATCCCCGGGAATTGCAGCAGGAGGGGGAGGAACCCCGGGGAAAAAATCACTGCTAGCAGGGGGGTGGCCCAGCACAGCCTCAGTGACAATAATAATGATGATGGCTGGTTTAGTTTGGGAGAGGAGGAACAGTATTCCAAGTGGATCAGGCATTTTGATGAGCCAGTTGGATACTGTGGAGACAGGGATCTGTCGAATTCAGAACACATTGATTTTCTGTCAGTTTTTTTTTTTTGGATGAGGAATTCTGGACCCTCATCACAACTGAAACTAACCGATATGCTCACCAGTATTTAGAGAGGGAGGAACTGAAATCTCGCTCCAGAGATAATGACTGGTACGATGTAACTGTCCCAGAAATGAAAGCGTTCATTGCCATTCAGTTCTGCATGGGGCTTGTGGAAAAGCCTGAGATTGAGAATTATTGGGCTGGCTTTTGGCCAACATGCACACCTGGCTTCAGCAAAGTGAGGTCAAGAAACAGATTTGAGATCATCCTTTCTTTTCTCCACTTTGTAAACAATGATGAGCGTGTTGAAAGGAGTCAGCTGTCAGCACACACTGGTTTCTCTATTTCTCGAAACCCAGAATATTATATACATACATAGTTATATATGTCTACATAGGAATATGTATATATGTATCATAAACAATAATAACACTAAGAAAATAAGACAAAAACATAAAAAAAAATCTGCAAGTGGGATGCAATCCAATATGGCTGCCACCTGATGACATCATAATATGCAAATTATGTGAGCGAATTTGTTCCCGTCTCAAAATTTGGCTCATACTGAAGATTTTTCTAATTTACAATATTCCTCTATCTCCAACCAGATTTAAGCTACAAGCTCTTTAAATAGTGATATAAAAAAACCTCATATTTTACTGAAAACACTATGGCGCCTAAAGGGTTAAGTCTAGACTAGCAGAAGCTAACTTTTTGCGCTAGCAACTCCACCACACAGCAAAACACTTTCAGGATTGTGTTATTTGTGGAGATAAAAAATCTGTGTTTGCAGAGCGGAGTCAGGGGCAGAGGGTTAGGGTTAGAGTTGCGCTGCTGTTCTCCAATCAGAGGCGAGATGTGCAAATTTCAGGACATAAGACTCCAAATTCTGCTCGTCTGAAAACAAGTGCTTCTGAGCTTTTCCTCCCCCGAGTTTGACTTGCAAGGCATTTATTCCTTTTAAAAACCACCGCGAACATATTCATGAAACGAGTTCAACACCTTTAACATAAATGTTTTGATTCAGATCGTGTTTAAAAACTTGGATGTGTTTTAGAGGCCTTTTGTCCTTCATTTTCATCACCATGTGGTGAAATTGCAGAGCTTTGCCAGCACAGTGGGAGACAGGCTGAAAGTGCCTCCTAATAGAGGCCTAGATATTACAGTCTCACTTCCAGGCGGGAAACCCGATGCTGCGCCAATTAGTAATTTGGTATTTCATAAAATTTGGCAGCATGTTTGATGAAAAACTGACAAAGATCTTCTCTCCTTCTGGGAAGCTTTGGCACAGACAAAACTGAAAATTTTCCCTTCTACTGCTAAATGAAGGGCTGCACAGATTCTAGAGGATCAGCTGAAAACCCAAAACACCTTTTGCTTCTGCCTCTAGCATACGTAGAGTTGGGTTCACACAGGCACCGAACAGGAAAACATTTTCTCCAAAAGGCCTTTCGCCATGGCCGACTACTGTTTTTGTATGATTGATGAACAGAGAAACAGTCCATTAGAGGTTGGGAGGTCATGCTGCAGTACTGAAAACATTAGTTTGCCATTACACACATTTGATGTGCAGCGTACAATACGACTTCATCGCTATGGGAACAGCTATTCTCTTTCAGCTCCCTGAAAGGTCATTATGGGATGGGAAAGCCCAGTTGACCCAAGGCAAAGTACATCATTTATCTTTTGCACCAGGAGAACACACCTAACAAAGCAGACTGACCCCTGTTAGAGCACCGAGGGTTTTAGCCATTTTTCAAAGCCACACAGCAATTTGCCATTGAAGTCGGCGGCTTTTTATTGAGACAAACTTTTTTCTCTAAGTCTTCTTTTTCCTTTGTTTGTGGTGAGAGGCTGAGAAACGAAATGTTTCAATAAAAGTTACAAAATTGTGAAAATTTACAGCCGATTCCTGTTAAGTAAATTGATTTATGTCATCACCCACCCATAAGGCCACACTACAGCTGGTCTGCAGCCTAATAAATAATGGCGGAGGTGTCCACAGCTCATCATTTCACCAAATAGCCTGCTATAATATGCAGTCCACTTCAGATAGGTTGCCATATAATATGTGGTCAGACCTGAGACAGCCACAGCAAGAGGGCTGGCAGCGCATTTATTCTGAGTACAAATGGCTCGACGGGGGCACCGATGTGAGGAATATTCCATTATTCCCATTGAGACCAAACACGATATATGTTTGGAGCTAATTATAGGAATCTTTACAGC